CTTCTGACTCTTCAGGGTGTTTGGACTGGATATCCAAGGCAGGGACTGTGGAGATGAAGTGGCTCAGTGGATCACCACTTTCCTGAATTCGGAGCCATACCGCCTGGTGCACTTTGAGCCCTCCATGGTGCCAAGAAAGTCAAAAGACATAATAAATCTTTTCCGAACCACAGATGAGGTAAGTGAACATTTCTTTATCAAATGTACTTTCTTAATCATTTCCCACCCACACACCAAATCCTGCCATTCCAGCATTGGTGACTGAGCCCTGTTTAGCAAGGTATGTAGTCATGTAGTTAAACCACGTGAATGTTCTCCTTTTCTGTGATGGGATGGCTTGCTTAAATTTTATTTTAAATCTGTTCCAAGCTATTGACCATTAACAGCTAAAGAGTATGATACTGATATTTGAAGAGGAACTCTTGCATTGCAGAATAGCATTCCTTTTGTGCTTCAGTTAATAGAAATGAAAGTAAGTTTTTAAAGATGTTTTGATGGTGCAGTCTGTGTTGCATAGAAAACCTCCATTCCCTATCCCTTACATGGGTCATGGAGTGTACCGATTTGAGTTGTGTTGCCTCATATTTTGTTTTAAGGAACATTACTTAAGCAAGGGATCTACAGCTGTGGGCTTAGAATTAAAATCCAAAGAAGGTTAGAGAGGTTTCATTCACTGGGAAGAGGCTTGGAGATGTGATGTTGGAGAAAGTTAAAGCAGGTAGGGAAAGGAGATACTGTGCACAGTCATCCTCATATCATTGGAGCCACTGATGCCCTTCTTGTTTGAAAAATGCTCTCACATGAAGGTGGTTTGAACTGTACCTGATGAATGTAAGCCTTTTTAGGAAATGGTGGGAACCTTGCCTTACTGATGTGATGTTGTTATCAACAGGGCAGTGATTTTGCTTGTTGTTGCAGAGAGAGAAGACACATTCAGTTATGGACTTTTATAGATGTGCATTTATTATGTAAATAATAAGTATATATAAACATTATGTAAATGCACTGAGACCAGTGCAGAAGTTTAGCTTTCGGCAAAAGAGATGTCAGATTAGGAAGGATGACATTCAGGAATCCTAGCATGAAAAGAGGGCAGAATTGTTTATATAGTTATTTCAACACTCATTTTCTTGTGGTTGTAAAGGCATAGACAAAGAGGGGGGAAGGATAATATAAGAGTAAGACAGGAGGAGGCCTGCATTTTCCTTTTATTTTTCTGTGAAACTAGCATATGTTGGAGTTTTCTTTTAGTTCATTTATTTATAAATAAGCATGTATTTATTTATATTGTTTATTATATAATATGTATTTACATATTATTGTATATAATATATATACTGATTTATTATTTTATTATTGATTATTTATAAATATACATTTATATATTTAGTTCATTTGCCTTGTTTGCTAAAATGTCAGACCTCTTACTTACAAGGTTAAACTGACAAATGGACAGTTGCAACATAGCGTTGCTATTCTGTAATGCGAAGCCCCTTGTGGTGTTGTGAGAGCATAGATTCGTTATATATTCAGCAGGTCCCTAAATGTCTTAAGTACCTTTCATAACTTGCTATAATGTGGTTTATTGATATATTTAGGTCTGTCTGTAATAACTAGAATACATGTCTGGGACATGCATGTGGTATTATTTTGTGAGAAGCGGTGGTAGCTTATACAATTTTGGTTTAATTCTGTACGTAGAAGTTAATTTTACAATTTGAGCAAACACAAATTGCCATGGTTTCTGAAATAGGAAAGGATGTGTTATTTTACTTACTAACCTGCTTCCAGGAAAATTTAAAACCTGAATGCAGCAGCCTAACAGTCAGGCTAGTATGTGGCCTCTGGTTTCAACATACCTGTCTATTTGTCATTCAGAATCTTTCCTTCCATGCTCTTTCAGCAGCCTTAGAGCCTTGGGATTTCTTTGTGTTTGTTTCTGTAGGTTGCCTATCCTGACTGTAGCCCAGTCTTGGTCATCTCAGAAGCTTCATTGGAAGATTTAAATGCCAAGCTGGAGAAGAAAGTGAAGATACAGAACTTTAGGCCAAATATTTTTGTGACAGATTGCAGTGCTTTTGAGGAGGTAAAATAGCTGTCTTAGATATCTTTTGAAAGCTTGCCTGTGTTTCTTTGTAACTCTGTTTACTTCTGTCTACAAAGAGGAGGAAAGCTGCTGTTCTGTGATTTTTAACAACTGGATTCAGAGAGATACAGTTCTGCTTACATCAGTGTTTGTGAAACATTGAGGGAGGAGACAGGTCTGTGAGCATTTACTTACCTTAGCAAAGTATAAAATAGGTGTGTTTAAATGACAGGCTTGCTACTGAAAGCTCATCTTTAAGTGTAAATTAGGGAAAGCTGTGCATGCTGTAACTGATCAATTAATGATATAGATGAACAATTAGTAAACTAACCACAGTGTGATGTTTTATAGCACAGTGTTTCCTCGGCACGAGAGGAAAACTGACCTGTGCAATGCTGGGGTCTGTCACTGCATCTCTGACAATGTTCTGGTAGTTCAAAAAACACTATCAAGTAAGGTAACCGGTGGTGAAGTGAATGGGGAATGGTGGTGTTTACATGTTTATATGTTGTGTTACTGTTCTTCCAAAGAATTTGCTCTGGATAGATCTGATTATTTCCCACATCTAAGAAGTTCCTAAAGTGGGAATGGGCTTTTGTGTTCCAAGAGGGATTGTAATAGGAAGCTTGTGTAGGTGAGCAGTGAAAACTTACTTCACTTACTAAAAATTTCCTTTCTGCAAAATTGGTGACTTACTAGAGTTCAGTATATCAGATTATCACACATACAACAAGAATAAGCTTGCTTTAGGTTCAGACAAGTGCACACTGCAGAACAGGATCTATTACTTGTATATACTTCTTTCCAGATATAGTTAATAGTAGGCCCTTACCTTGGTAGTGAGTGCAGTGACCACAGGGTTTTCATTAAAATAGTACCATAATACAGTGTACTTATTTTGAAGGCACAAGTGAAGGTGATCACCTGGAATGGTACTGTTTCTTCTAGGAATGATTGTGCCCCTCCTGGAAAAATGATTGCATGTGGATATGTCTAATATGTGCATAATTTTTACCTTCCCTCAGGACACCTGGGAGGATGTTATTATTGGTGATGTGGAAATGAAAGGGACAGTATGTTGTGCCAGGTAAACATTTGAGACTGTTTTTTTATACAGATGTATGGAGATTTATGGTAAGAAGCCATTATTGATTTGGTGCTGTCATTGCAGGTGTATTTTAACAACTGTTAACCCAGACACTGGGGTGCTGGACAGGAAGGAGCCCTTGGAAACATTGAAAAGGTTGTAAAAATCCTTCTTAAGCTGTGGGAGTAGATTTAAGCTAGATTGCAACAGATGTTAGACTAGTGTTTTAAAAGTATGTGTGGGACATAATACTGCAGCGTAAAGGTATGTGTGTATTGGCTTCCATTCTGCTTTCTGCAGTTCTTTATGGTAAGAAAATTCAGGAAGTTCTCTCTTCTTTCTTGCAAACTTTACATTCCCTGTCTCTTTCATCTGTGCTATGGTAAACACGGGGGTAACAGGTATTTAAGTTATTTAAAGATCTAACTTTGCAACACTGGCATCTCTTTTATAAAGCCTTTTGTATGTGTGTTACATATGGATGTGTGAAGACAGGCTTCTTTTTTGTTCCACTTGAACTGCTTGGTTCTCTTTAATCATAATACTTACTTAGTTTTAGTCTAGTATGGTGACCAAAACAGGGCATCACTGTTCATATGTCTTCTCTCTCATCACCGGAATTTTGAAGTTCAGACTTCTTTGATTCTAAAGAAGCGCTGTCTCTCCGCAGTTACCGCTTATGTGATCCATCTGAGCGACACATCTACAAATCCAGCCCTCTCTTTGGGAGATACTTTGCTGTTGACAAAACTGGAACGATTCAAGTTGGAGACCCTGTGTACAAGATGGTCCAGTAATAAGGGAGACTTCAAACAGAAGATACCTTTTCACTTTGATGCGCAAATTGGTTTTCCATGAACACAATCACCAGCATAACTTTTTCTTATTTTGTGCAGTATTTTTCATGCTATGTTCATTTGTAGGCTGCAGGGGAGTCTTTGAGGCTATGAAATACCAGTCATTTCAGATCATGTAATCTACTAGTATGCCTGTAGCAGCCACATCTTTAGTTTTTCTGGAGGCTGTGATAGAAGGCTGTGATCCAAGGCTGACTTCACAGCATTACTGTGAGTCACACTCCCTACAATTTTATGTCAAACCCAGTACTGGAATCCAAAACACAAGGGCTTTGCATCATGTGTTAGATACATTCAGTGCCTGCGAAGGACCACAGAAACGGACATGCCAAGTGTGAAGTAAATATGTTGATCACAGAACTGCCTTTACAAGTAAACATGGAGTGCAGATGGCGAGGCTCTGTCTTAGATTCCACCCTGCTTTGCTCCCAATCATCTTACCCTGTCTGTATTTGGAGGTACTTCTTTTACAGTGTTTCTTGTCCTGCAGTCATTTCCTGAAGGTTCCTGCTGTCTTCTGAGGTTGAAGCAAGATCAGAAGGAGAAAGACCGGGAGCTGACTAAGTCTAGCTACTGTAGTCTAGAGGTGGAAACACCTGCTAACAGTGTGTGAGACTGTGGCTTTGTTTAGTTTATGATCTCTGCTTGATAAGAGTTTGAACCATCAGGTTTTTCTCTTGTGAAGCATACAGTAGCACCAAAGCTGTGGAGTAGTGATGCATTTGCTAATGTTTCAGTACGTCCTGTTTTAAGCCCAGCCAGTAACTCAGAACCATATAGCTGCTCGCTCACTCCTCATCACCTTCTTCCCTGGCTCCCAGAGGGATGGGGAGGAGAATCAAAAGATTGTAACTCCCACGGGTTGAGATAAGAACAGTCCAGTAGCTAAGGTATAACACAAACCTAATACCGCTACCACCAATAATAAGGCAAATAACAAGGGAAGAGAATACAACTGCTCACCGCCCAGGTGACTCCCCCCAGTTTCTGTACTGGGCATGACATGCTATTAAATGGAATACCTCTTTGGCTAGTTCGGGTCAGGTGCCCTGTCTCTGCTTCCTCCCAGCTTCTTGTGCCCGTCTGCCCTGGCAGAGCATGAGACTGAAAAGTCCTTGATCAGGGTAAGTATTACTTAACAACAACTTAAAACATCGGTGTGTTATCAGCATTCTTTTCAGGCTAAATTGAAAACAGCACTTTACCACCTACCAAGAAGGAGAAAAATGATTGCTACAGCTGACCCAAGGACACAGTAGAACTTCCAGTCTGACTACAAGAATTAGGTGTATTAAAGACTTTATGCACATTGGAGAAGAAGAAGAGCTGTTGGGAGTGATCCAGTTCTGAGCCTGTCCCATTCAAATTGATGTCCGGGCTGATATTTTAGGGCTCTGTGTTCATGTGTAGCTCCTCTCTGGCTCAGGGAATCTGTTACTACAGTCACTTAGGCTGTTAAGCAGGTGTGTGGGAGTCTGCAGTTTTAGACTGAGCACGTTAATGTCCAGTAAGGGCACATACAGATTTCTGGTTGCCCCCCGCCCCTGCCCTTAACCAAAATGTCAGCTATTTGCAGGAAGCTGATAATTGTATTTTCTGCTATATTTCATACTGCATAAAGCAGGGGAGGAAACTATTTGGATTATGGCAGTAGTCTCTTTAAGTGTTAAAAAAGTGGATTCCAAGACACAAGCCAGCCATCTTTCAAATGCTGCTCTGCATGTTGCTTTGTTGTGGATTGCTAGATCTAGAAAGACTGTTGAACTAGCCAAAAAGAGGAATATAACGAAGTGTGAAGAAGGATGAATATGACCCAATGTGGCCTTTAGATTCTTTGTTCCCTGTTGTGAATATGAAATTAGAATTTTGCTGCATTTTCACAACTCTGACCTGTAAGATGATGAAGAACTGTTGTGCCTTTTGAGTGACTTCAAATGGATGTATGTGGCAAGCAGGAAGCAGGCACATGGGGAGGGCATGTTTTCTGTTACTTGTGAACTCGGGGTTGCTCTGAATAACATTTTGTTAGCAGAGTGCTACATAAGTACTAAGTTTTGCTGTGAGAGGTAAGTGCCCAGTTTGGACTTCATGTTGCGAGTTTGTGTATTGTTATGCAGCAGAGAAAACGCATCTTTTGAAAAGGAAAATAATCTTGAGGTTCACTCTTAGAAAGGTTATGTTGAAGATCCTTAATATTAGAAGCTGAAATCTTGTGGAATTCCTAATGGTATTATTAAGCAAAGATAGCCTGCTGGCCTGCCAAAGAAGTTAGTTGTGTGTCTCTTCATTAAATCAAAGAAGTAGAAGAAAAGAGGGCTGAACTTTTGCCTCTAGCCAAACATAATTTTTCACTATTGTTTTAGCACCTCATTAGATTTTATGTAACAAAGTGTGTGGTATAGATCATGTTGCCTCTCGTTAGATTATAATCTATTGGGCTAATTTGGAAATGGGGCTGTCTTTCCAGTGAGAATCTGCATCTTCATTCCTGTTAAGAAAATGCCACAGATCTAAAATGGTGATCCCTGTAAAAGTCCCTTAGAAGATTATGTCTTGAATCCTAAAACAGGTGTGTGTGTCTGAGTACAACACATCTCATGAATGTCACTTAAATATGTGGAAGGAAGTGGAGAGCAGAACTTTACAAACCTTTTAATATAAATATCTTCATATAAACATTGAACTGCTGTAATTGTAGGAATTGTATTTGATCTTGCTAAAGCCATTTATGAAATGGACTGAAAACATGTCAGTTGTATAACACTGTTTTTTAATTGTGTACTTAAAAACATTAATTGCTTTTGTAACTCTAGAGGAAGCAAACAAAAGTATAAACTTCTGTTGAATCTGAGCTCTTGTATGGCATCATGTTTGTCAGTCTTCTTTTTTCTTTGTTTTCTGTTTCTGCATTTAACTTCTGCTGTGGTTTCCAGGACCTCATAAATTAGTGATGACTATTCTTTTAATCTTACCTCTAAGTTCAGGAAGATAGGCAGTTGACCAGACGAAGCCATATGCATACGAAAGCAGAACCATCAGATGTAAGTGGTCTTCAGACTCAATTTTACATCCTTTATATCCTTATGATCCTAGATGATGACAAAGATGTTTACAGAGTGCCTTCTCTTTTTCCAGACACCTATGAAAATAGGGCAAAATGGATTTGAATGTGGGGAAGTTTAGTATAATTAAGGTTGATACAATAGAGACATCTTTCTCATCTCTTAATTATAAAGCCAAAACCTTTCTTTACAGCACTTAACTGCGCCACCACAATTCTTGCAGATGACATTGTGAGAGAACAGCAGTCCTTGCAGGCAGACACTTCCGAACTTTCAGGTTGTTTAAGATTTCAGCCAAGTCTGCCCCTCCCCCCCAAAAAACCCAGCCAAAACCAGCCAAACCAAAAAAAAACCCAGCAAAGATGATTAAGGGAGTGGAGCATCTCCCTTATGAGGAAAGACTGAGGGAGCTGGGTCTCTATAGTTAAGAGGAGACTGAGGGGTGACCTTATTAGTGTATATAAATATATAAAGGGGGAGTGTCACGAGGATGGAGCCAGGCTCTACTCAGTGGCAAACAATGATAGGACAAGGGGTAATGGGTACAAACTGGAACACAAGAGGTTCCACTTAAACTTGAGAAGAAACTTCTTCTCAGTGAGGGTGACGGAACACTGGAACAGGCTGCCCAGGGAGGTTGTGGAGTCTCCTTCCCTGGAGACATTCAAAACTCGCCTGGACACATTCCTGTGTAACATTATCTAGGTGTTCCTGCTCCGGCAGGGGGATTGGACTAGATGATCTTTTGAGGTCCCTTCCAATCTCTAGCATACTGTGATACTGTGTGATACACCCTTCTTCCCACAGTCCCTCATTTCCATGCAAAGCTTTAGTTACCCGAGTGTGTAAGTCACTGCCATTTCTTTCATGTGCTTTTCAAGACAGCAACAGAAAATTATCACTTCTTTATTTGCACAGGTATGCTAAAATAAGATTTCATTTAACTTAAAAAATAACCCCAAAAAACACTCTCCCCCCCAAAAAAAAAACACAACAACCCAAACAAAAAAGCCCAGCAACGAAACCCCTAAAACCAACCAAAAGTGGGGTTTTGTCTGTGATGAAAGATTCCCAACACCACAGCTCCAAGCAGTAGAAAAGCCATACTGCTAATGAACAAGTGGAGTCCTTTAGTTAGTATGGGTAATCATGACAGAGCCATCTACCAGCATCTCTCCTAAAACTGTGCTTTCCTTAAAAGCCCTGTCAAGCTCAACATCCTTACAAGAGACTTGGAACACCAGTGCTTCTCTTGCATTCCTCTGATCTTTCTGCAACCCAAATATAGTTGTTCCTAACCCACTGAACTTTTAAATATGTTTGATGCCAGCTACACTTGAAGACAATATTTAAAGCTGTTGGTTAGCATCAGAGATAGTTCTTGCCCTCCCTAGTCCCCCGGGATTGTTTGTTCTTTTTAAATGGAGTTGGTTTGGATAAAGTATGTAGTTACGGCATGCACATTATGAAGGAGATGCTATTTAATATATCCTCCATTAATTCAAGTAGGAGAGGTTGGTGTATCTTATCTATTCATCTAGGTGGAGCTGTCAAAGTGGATTTAGAGCTGGATTTGAAGATACCAGGGTATGTAAATTTAAGAGGGAGAAACATGCCCACGATGAGTCTGAATACAGCCACGCTTATACCAAGCTTATTTATTCTTCAGAAAAAAATCGATGGCGGATTTTTTATGATAGACTTCAGATAATGCCACAGAATCATATAACATGAATGTGGTTTATTTATTGTTGAATGTATAAGAAATCAACCTCTGTTTCAAAATGGTGTGGTTTTGTCAGGCTCCTCTGCCCCAAACAAATCTCTGAAAGCATCTCAAGTGGGCAAAATAATCAGCTCCAACCATTTTTATTTCAGTTCCTGATTACTTTCTTTTTCCCATGAGAAAATGCTTTTGAATGACATGTTTAGCTTGTGTAAGCAAATGGAAGCTCCATTCCTGCAAAACTTGAAGGTTTCTTGGCTTGCTATTCTTGTTTTGTGCTCACCACGACCTGCGATAGATGTATGTATGGAGTTTTTTGGTTTCTTTCCTGGCAGGTTTCTACTAAATGAGGCATCACTTTTGGTACATCCTCTGGACTAAAAGTCTCCTGGCATCAGTGAAATAAAGCAAGAGGGTACGTAGTGCCCTATCCTGAATGAAGTTGTGATAATTAGCTTTCAAAGCTTTGAAATTTGGGATCTGTTCATTGGTTGGGGGTTTTCCTTCTTTTTTCTTTCCTATGGTTTTCCTTCTCATATGCCTTCCTTTCGGTCAGAAGTTCAGTATTTTTGACATCATTCTAAAAGATTAATCCTTTTGATGAATTGTATCAAATGTGTTACAGGAAACAGAGGCACTTCCACTACAGTTTGGAAGAGCACTAGGTAAATCCCTGCTCTTAGCACCAGGATGCTGTGGCTCAGTCCCAGACACCAACCTGCTTCTCAATGCTGCCAGCAGTGCCATACCTGCTGTGTGCAAAGCAGGTGGCACCAGCCAGTCTCTCTTGGTTCCTATTTTGATGGTAACAAGCTCTTGAAAACAATGAATGTTGTTTCTGCAGCCAAGTGGTGGAGTAGGAGACTTTGGAATTAGAGGCAGGAGTCACTTACAGGATACTCCACAAGGGCTTGCAGCACCTCACGCATATTAATTCAGCTCCTGGCAGGCTTCAGGCTGCTTAGAAACCCCAAAGGGAACAGGCAGTCGTCCTCCTCTGAGAGGATCAGCAGAGTGAAACAGGAGAGGTGAAACGCTCTGATGATGACAGAAAGTGGCAGCAGTGGGAGGGCTTCCAGGCATTCCTCAGGGACAGGAGGAGCCTGTGTGCGCTCTGTACAGTATGCACAGTGAGCCTGCAGCATCCAGAGGGCTTCTTACTAACCCATCTTACTAACCTTACTGCAGACCAAGCAGTGTGTCCTCATTAATAGATGGGATTTAAGGAGGCCCATATGTGCACCAGCCCTCACTTTGTGTTTAGCTGAGTGGCAGAGCTCATCCAGGTAGGACACTGGGAAAAACCTTTCTGTGTAGCAGAGAGAGAGGAGAAGCTGGACTGGATTGTTCAGGCACTAGGAGAAGCTTTGACAATAAAGGTTTTTAAAGACAAGGTGGACAAACCTTGCCCAGAAATAACCTCATAGCTGATCCCGCCTTACAGCAGGGATTAATTTGGATGATTTATCACAGTTCTTTCCATTGCCTTTTTCTTTGGTTTTGTTTATTGGGGTTTCTTTTTGCATTGCTGCTTTGGTCTGTAAAGATGTGTAAGTGTAGCACCTACAGTAGCTATGTCCTTTCCCACTGGTGCTGGCAGCATAGACATGTTATGACCTTCCTCTTCCCTGCATATGAAAACATGTTAGCCTGTGCTGATGCACTCTCCCAAATAGAATTGGTCTTTGGGGAATGTAAGTAAAAAGTATGCATAGGTATAGCACAGGAGGCGTGGACTGGAAGGGTGTTCAAATCATTGTCCCTATGGGTTCAGCCACTTACATTACAGAGCGGGCATTTTAAGTCATTAAAACCAAATACTAATTTCTGCCTGTGCTGGAATAAATTGGTTTGGATTGAAAACTCTGTACAGAGAATAGACTGACTAAAAATGATTTAGATTGTTATTGAACACTCCTAGCACCTTCTGGAATAAACAAAGCAGACCAAACAAACCAACCCAGGGCATGTGTAATCTGTGGACACAATGAAAAGCTGAATTAGCTTTGCATATCCAGAGGGCACAACAAACCTGCGTGGCTTCCCTTAAGTTTTCATTCATGCTTGTCGAAACTCACAGCACAATATGGTACATTTTCACTCTCAGTTTCCATTGGAAATTGCTTTTACAGTGACTCATTCCTTATTTGTGTTCTTTTTGCGGTTCCTGACATATTCCACATTTCAGTAGCTCGTCATGTGAATATACACAGACTTAAAGGTTGGCATTTTTGGCTATCTTCTTTGAACTGTTAAGGGTTTGTAAATCCTAAGAAGCCATATATCCAGCATCTCCAAGAGTGAGACCTGAAACTGAAGAACCATTTTGCCTGAATAGAGTGAGTAGGATTTGATTTGAGATCTCAGTGTGCTACAGCTGAACTTTGCCTTTCTCCTTTCCTCAAGATGTTTGTGCTCAACAATACTGCAGGGATTCGTGCTGTTGATTTTTCAGAGCTCTGGGGTTTTTAGTGTGTGAGATATTCAGCTTGATAGACTTTCCACACAGGAGCATCTCTTTTTTTCTTACTGCTATTTATATACAAAAATGCAGCATTGGAAACAGCACTTTTGCTGCAGGACTTTTTTCAGCACAAGTCCATGTTGAAGATGTCCTGATGTGGTGTGCTGCTGTCTACCTTCTCCCTGGATGTCTCTGTGGGTAAACATGAACTGTGTCTGTAAGGGGCTTAGCACAAATAAACTTAACTCTGCCCATTTTCCACCATCTTTCAAAACTCATGAACTTCTCCCAGATAAAAGAACTCAGCATGAGCTCTCTAGCCTGTTTTAGGGCTATGCATGAAATTTAAGCTTCCATAAATATAACAGTGTGGTTTCCAGGAAAGGGAGTCATTAATTTGAGGGACTGATGTCCTTTGCTGCATCCCAGAGGACAGGTCCAAATGAGGATCCTTCAGTCTTGCCTGGAGAAGCTTTGCATTTGGCAACACGGGGTCCTAAATCTGTGCTAGTTCTCCAGTTGTCATCAAACTACTATCCTATCCTTATCCTTTTCCAGATGTTCAAGAAGAAAAGCTGCATTTTACCCTTGCTGTCA